GGCAAGGGAAGCAGGGAAGTGTGGCCATCCCATGGCCACTTCATCTGCTGATGGTGTTGACCCAGCCCTGCCTCCAAAACAGGGCAGAAGAGGATGGGGTGAGCCACAGGAAGCCTGGAGGCTGGATCCTATGTCAGCTGAATCACCAGGGTTCCCTCCAAATTAGCGAGGGGGCTGTGTCACTGCCCTGTGCTGCGAGCCCCTGGCGCTTTGGCACTTGCTGTGGGTTGCAGGGGACCAAGTGGCCAGTTGTCCAGCTTGTTATTCCTAAAGCAGAACTGATATGTGCTGGGTTAGTGGGCAGAGACATGCAGGTTTTGAAGCGTTTTTAATTATCTAATGCTGACTGACTTGCCTGCTCGTGTCTGGAGCCTTTGTCATGAAAAGGCAGCAAAGCCACAGGTTCCTCTGAAAAGGGGAATGTGTACAGGTGAGTCACTGCTCCAGACTAAGCCTCTCTTTTTTTTTCTTTAATTGGGTAGAAAAAGGACATAGTAATATCTTTTTGTTGACACTTTGATGCATCTCTGCATTTGCCTGCTTGAGTAAACAACTTGATGCTGTTAATCAGTCAGTTGTGGAGATATTAAAACAGGGCAGGTCTGGGAGGGATGGAGCGGCTCAGTTTTCAAACTAACGTGGAACTGCTAAGAAAGCAAATTTTTTCCATTTAAAATAGCAACAAATTCCAGCACTGTTTCTATTGGAAGTGTTCAAGTGGCTGTCAGGAAATATTTGGTTGCCATGTGCTTTCAAACTGGAATTAATCCTTCAGCTTTCAAGAAGATGTGCGAATGCCTGAACGCTCCTTCTCCCCCCCTCCACCTCCAATTTTCCACCGATGCCCTTTGCAGGATGCAGTTTCCAGGACTTCCCCTCTGGGCTTGAGTGTTTTTCAGTTGCTGTCTGAGCAGTTAATCCACCCGAAAGTCCTGGTTATCTTCTGACACTTGTGCTGGCAGTGCTGATTGTTGATGCAGAGGCATCCATCCCTCCGGTGATGGTCCCCACTGCTGTGGCATGTCTCCAGGTGGCTTACAGCTGTTAAAACACACGGGCTGAGGCCGCTTTATTTGACCTGCCTGTATTGCAGTTCTGTCTGGAGAGCAAATAAACTGACCCTGATTCAGTGACTGCAGTGTGTTCGGAAGCTATAAAACTTTGTTTGCACAGAAACTTGATACAGTCCCTTTCTGGGAAGGGAGTTGGTATTCAGAAACCTGAGGTGCACTTAAAGCAGGTCTGATCTGCAGCACAAAGCAAAGTCCTGGCTTATACCAGCAATAGTGTGGCCAGCAGGACCAGGGCAGGATCCTGCCCCTGTGCTCGGCACTGGTGAGGCCACACCTCGAGTCCTGTGTTCAGTTTTGGGCCCCTCACTACAGAAAGGACATTGAGGGACTGGAGCATGTCCAGAGAAGGGCAATGAAGCTGGTGAACGGTCTGGAGCACAAGATTTATGGGGAGCAGCTGAGGGAACTGGGGGTGTTCAGCCTGGAGAAGAGGAGGCTGAGGGGAGACCTTATAGCCCTCCACAGGTTCCTGAAAAGAGGGGGTAGCAAGGGCGTGCAGGGGAGGTCTGTCTCTTCTCTCTTTTAGCTGGTGATAGGACAAGGGGAAATGACCCCAAGTTGCGCCAGGAGAGGGTTAGATTGGATATTAGAAAAAAATGTCTTCACTGCAAGGGTTATCAGGCACTGGAAGGGGCTGCCTAGGGCAGTGGTGGAGTCACCATCCCTGGAGGGATTTAGAAGAAGAGGAGATGAGGTGCTGAGAGACGTGGTTTAGTGGTGGACAGGTTATGGTTGGACTCGATGATCTTGGAGGTCTTTTCCAGTCAAATGATTCTTGATTCTAAGTCTTCAGAGGACAGAAACTGGTTACACCGTCTGCCACCCACTGTCTTCAGTGAAGCTGCTTTTACTTTTCTTCTGTGGAGTAAGAAATAAAGGCAGGAGCAAAGTGGCTCCGGAGCAGGAATTGCTTCCTTATACACTCTGTTTATGTGTGCATTGACCGATGGACTGTCACCAGGGTGTAAAATGGGTGTGTGATTACTGTCTCCTCTTTTCCTCTGGTCCTCCCTTCCTCTAAAATGGGTCTTTAAATGTGAGTGTCTGTGGCTGTCGTCGCACGCCCTGGCAGGGAGGAGCGAGTGTGACATGGTGAGGCATGAGCGCTGTGGTGCTGCATTCCCACAGGGCTTCCAGTGAGGCAGCTGATGTGTGATCCCCAGGCCAGGCTGATAAAAGGGCTTTTTATCTCCGTGAAGACAAAGCCTCTTGTTTAAAAATGCAACTGAATGAAAAACACAATTCTGAATGCCCTAGACTCAGCTATTAAAAACAAACAAACAGAAAAACCCCCACACAATGAAAAACTGAAACATTCCCCTGCCCCCCAGCCCAATGTGCTAATGTTAGTGTGGTCCATCTCCATTGCGAAAAAAAACCCCTGTAAAGTTGCTTTGAGAGCTTAGCAGTCCCTGTTAACTTGTAACTCTGTGGCCCACTAACCTTTTCATGTACTGTTTCGTTACATCAAAATGTACTTTCCCCTTCCCAGACAGCTACAGCAAGGTCAGATGTCTGCATTTTCTCTGTTGGTTCAAATTTTCACCCTCTCCTCTCAAGCAGAGAAACAGAGAAGGAAGGAGAGCTATGAAAACTGAGAGGTAAACCTGTTTTATAGACATAGGGGCTGGGATTTTGTTTTTCTAAGTGAAGACCCACTACAGGACATATCCAGAGGGTGGTATTTCCCTGATAAAGTCAAACAGAGAAGCTGCTTTAAAAGGTCTCTGCTTATGGTGGTGTCGCTGCTTGTTTTGTTGTTAAAAGATGTCAGAGATAGCCAGCAGCAAATTAAATTCCAATGAAGAGGGTAGATAATGATGCTTCTGGAAATCTCCTTTTAAGGACATCCTCATGGTTTGTAAATTAATTGGTGCAAGTGAGGATTAGGAAGAAGGTAGAACTGGTGAAGGAGGGTTGGCTGAAATGTCAGTCTCATGGCTCAGCCCCTCCTGCCTGGCAGCTCGTGCCAGCTGCCTGCATAGCCAAAACCATCTCCGATCCCGATAGCGTGCTGCAAGTGTTTCTGCCAGTTGTGAAATCCACCTCTCATTGCTCAGAGCTGACTTTCTTGCTGAGCAACTACTTTATCGCCTGGAAAGAGCAAGCGGGTGTTGGTGGCATTGGGGCTTGGGCTGCAGGGAAGGGGCTGCTTCAGGAGAGGGGATAGGTGCTGGTCTGGCAGTCTGGGCACCCAGCATTCCCGCATGGTAGCGTTTCCTCGGTCAACTAGCCTAACTTGTCATCTGTGAAACGGTATAAAAAATTCACTATGGTGCCTTTCTTTTTTTCCTGTCAGTCTGATGCCCCATTCTTGCAGTACAAGCCCAATGATGAGGTTGGCTGTCTTGCTGTTGGTGGCTTCTTCTGGCTGTTAAACATCATCTTGTGTCTGCTGGCAGCTCTGCGGGTGCTGGGAGGTGGGGTCTCATGTGCTTTCCTTCGTGTCTGCAGTGATGCAACTCCTTGTTGACTCTGCTGCTTGCGCCTGTCTGAGCTGCTTTCCCAGGCTGCCACACCTGCCCATCGCTCTGATCTCCAGCGACTTCTTTCTTTCCAGACTTCGTGAAGTGTTACAGAAAATGAATATTTACAGCTACAGGCAAACTTGTGTTCTTAAGCGAACGAGTGCTTTTGAAGGCAGCTAGGAGCCTCAGACGAAAGCAGCTTGCTAATCAGAGGACAGGCGTTTGTGAAACTCAGCCTCCCGTCGCTTGAGCAGTGAGCCCAGCCCGTTGAGGATCCTGTCTTCTGACAGTCTGCAAACCTGAATTCACCCTTCATCCTTTTGCTTAGAGAGGAGGAGGTGGCTGGGTCTGTTCCTACAGGTGGAGGAGGAACTTTTTGTTTCTGAACTTACAGTGATCGTAGCTAACAAAGCGGGAGCTGGAAAATCTTGGGATGGAAATCTCGTTTGAGGTTGCATTGAGCCCACCCAGAATCCCCATTTTTAAAGACCCTGAGCTAGAGCTAGCAGATATGCTAGAATGCACTTATCAGTGCTTACCTTTTTGTTCATGCACGGGAATTGCTCTGTTAATTGCTGATCTCTCTTGGTTGTATTGGTCAAAGTGCCAACAAGGCACCTGATGCTGCTGTCAGAAATGTGGGAAGGGGATGTGGGCAGGTCACTGGTCTTTTCCCATCCTTACAGTGACACCTCCTGTCCAGGCTGGCTGGGTGACACAATCAGTGCTTGGAAAGGAGGATTGTAGCAGATGGGTGTGGGGAACTGTATGCTTCATCCTGGCTGTTTCTTAAACATCAAGCAGATCAAAGCGGAGTTTCTGTGTGTTCGGGGTTCGAGTGTGGCTGATGCCTGCTGCTCCGCACTCGCTTGTGGTGTTCCTGCTGTGCCTTGCTCAGGAGGGTGCAGGAGGTCAGCGACAATGCAAACAGCCTGTTGCTTACATGGTTTATTGAGAGACTGACTCTGGGGAAACAATATCAGGGGTACTACTTTGTGCAAAAAGACCTTTTCCAGGTACTGTTCAGAGTCTTTATTATTTGAGTTTGGTCACTGGGTGCTCTCAGGGGACAGGCAGGCAGAGCATTCAGTATCTCTTGCATTAATATTTTAACTCTGGATTCTGATTTTGTTCTAAGCTGAGGAAAACCCCTGGAGAGGTGAGCTTTTCTGACCTACAGATCACACTTGTAGCAGGTACCTTAATGTGTACAGAACAGCATAGCCCATAAAATAAATACACAGAGCTAAATATTAACAAGGCTAATGGGATTTCTGACTTGTTAAGGAGTGCATTTCTCATCGTCTGAGTTTCACACATCTGTTTTCTTAGTGGAAAGACAAACGTGGCTTTGAGAACCTGTAGCGACCTTGGTACTGTTTGTTGCTGGACTGGTGATCAAAACTGCACACGTCTGAATGCAGCCTGGTTTCACACAGCGTCCTTTTTGTCTCTTTTAGGTACTCCTTAAATTCATGAGATGGCCAACACCGTGCAGATCTCCAAAGATGAGCTGGAGGAACTCAAGGAGGCCTTTGCCAAAGTTGGTGAGTCACAGTGAGAAGGGCACCTTTCTCCTGTCTGCTGTACATTTGAAATTGCTTTATCCCGCCCCTGCGAGCAGCGGTGCCAGCAGGATGTGGCAGTCTGCTGCTCCCATAATTTTCTCTGTGCCAAGGAGTCCTTTGGCAGCTCTGTTTCTTCTGGTCTGTCAGTTCTAGCCAAGGAGCACAAAAGAAGGGACATAGGCAGTCTGGCTGTCATTAAGCTCTGGCAGACAGCCTTGCCCTGTCGTTCCAGGTTAGTTCCTGATGGTAGAAGAAATCTCCAAACAGGTACTGCATTACTCTGGCCCAGGCAGCACTTCAGGACTTGCACAGTGCTTGGTTCTGATGGTGTTGATTCTGGCAGATTGGCTGAGCTAATCACTTACATGTAGGTGCTGCATTTCTGGTTTGTGCAGGTGCATTTGAGGCACTTCATTTAGCCAGCTTGTATTAATTCGTGTCTGTTTACTTGGCCATTCTGGAGTAACTTGAGGTGATAATACAGTGTTTTGCAGCTGCAGTGCATGTGCATTGCCCTCTGGTGGCTCCTTTTTCTCTGGTCCTCCCTTCCCTGTCAGCCTGTGGTGCTGGAGGGGTTGCACAGCCCAAGCAGGTCTGCCTGCTTTCCAGCTTTCCCCCTGCACTGGCATTGCAGGAGCCTCTGGCACACTGCTTTGGGAAGCTGAAATGGGCAGAAAACTGACATAATGGAGAAAATTGTTTTCTGCTGGTTTAGTGTCCTGATACGGCTTTCTGGAGAACCAGAGAAATGCTAGGGAGGGGCAGGATGGGAGCTGGACCGCAGCAGTGCGGGCTGAGGTCAGCGTATGCAGCTGGAGAACCGCACCCGGGACTGGCACTGGCCTGGAATGAGTTGCACAAGTGATAGGAGCCAGCGTTTTGTTTTCCTAACTGGACATCAGCATTGCTTGAGCACTGGCTATAGATCCAAATGGGTAGTTGCATAACATCCGTATTGGATAAATTGCCCTCTGAAGCAGGGTGACTCTTCAAACCTTCCCTGGCTCTAAATCTGCAGTCTGCAGAGAGAAATGTGAATTGTAAAGACAGCTGATTGTCACGGAGTGGTATTCCCTGTTGGGAACAGTTGCGTTATAGGCAGGTCCCTCTCCTGTCTTGCTCTTCCAAGGCTTTTCCATCAGGTGGAAGTGAGCTGCCACAGAGGACATGAGTGACCATCGTGCTTCCTGCTGCCTAATGTGCCTCTTAGTGCTAACCTCAATAAGGCTGGGATGCAGGCAGTCCATTGTGTCCTTGGATAAACTTAAATGATTAACCTGGCTGGCATGTGGTGGCTTTTTGTCTTTGGTGTGGGGGCAAATTATTGAAATTAGGTTGGTTGGCTGCCTTTGTGCTGGAAACACGGAGAAACCCCAGTTAAATTCTGGTTTGTTTTAGGAAACCAGCTCAGTCTGCTCAGGAAGTGGGTCTGTGTTTTGGTTTTAAGTTATAAAAGGAGTGTCAAAACTTAAGTATTATTGAGAAATGGGATAATTAGCCTGAACATACCCACAAGTGAGATGGGATCTGCTGCCTTCTGTTTTGTGTGCTTTAGGCATGGTACATCCCGCAAGCATTGCTGTGGGACTTGTCTGTCAGGAGTGTCTTTAGGTAATAAAAGAAATTAAAGCATTAAAGGAGCCATATTTGCCCTAGGATATACAACTGGTCGCTAACTGGGTGACTGACTTTCACTGGGAACTTCTAATGCAATCTCTAGTGAGCGTGAAGAGAAGTTGGACTAAGGCTGCTATTTAAAATTAAGCCTTTCTTTCATCTCCCAGCTACATGGAAGACTTGGAATGCAGCTGAGAAGCGTGGTTATAGCAAAGTTCAGCTGCTTGGCATCTGGGATGTCGTAAAGGAGATGTGGGGAGGAGGAAGTGTCTCACGGAGTGGTTTCTGCTCCTCAAAACATGCCCCGCTTCAATGTGTGGCTGCATGGGCTTCCTGAAGAGCTGCTTTAACTATAGCACGGTGCACATTGCTGCTCTGGACGGATGTGTAGGTTGATGAGACTTTACAGGTGTGTGTTGACCAGCTGTTCTGTGTGTGGGTGGACCAGATCAAAACATCTGCTGATGCTGGAAGACAGTGAGGTGTGTTACTGTGTACTCCGTCACCACTTGCCTTCCATGCCACTTGAAGGTGTGCAGCTGGTGTGCTGTTCTCTCGCAGCCAGAAACAGGCAAAAGCCCCGTAGACCTGCTTCCTAGAAGCAGTCGACAGGTTAGAAACTGTGGTTTAAGGCTGTCACAACCTGAAAAGGAGTCATTTAGAATAACCTCCCTCCTCTGGGATCAACAACCAAGTTCAGGATACCCTTGAGCTGAATTAAGGTGAAATGACACCTTAATGTGTCATTTCACATAAATTTAGGGGCAATGGGAGCAAGCTGGAACATAGGAGATTCCATGTGAACATGAGGAAAACCTTTTTTACTGTGAGGGTGACAGAGCCCTGGCCCAGGCTGCCCAGAGAGGTTGTGGAGTCTCCTTCTCTGCAGACATTCAAGGCCAACCTGGACGCGTTCCTGTGTGACCTGGTCTGGTGATCCTGCTCTGGCAGGGGTTGGACTGGATGAGCTCTTGAGGTCCCTTCCGACTCCTGAGATTCTGTGATTCAATGGCCCAGCCTGCAAAACTCAGCTCCTGCAGAGTAGCCATGGCTTGGTGGCTTTGCACCAGTCCCACCTGACTTTGCGCACTAAACGATGTTTAAGGCAATTATTGATGTATCAGTTCCTTAGAAAGGTTCGCACTGAAGTCAGCTACGGCTCAGACAAGCAGCTCCCAGCATCCTACAACCAGGCTTTTGTACTGGAAGTGATCCAAGTGGTAAACAGCAGTGAGGAAAAAAGCATTTCAACATCTGAAAAAAGTAAGTGGGGCAAAAGAACTGTTTGGGCTTTGAGTGACCTACAAGTTTGTGGGAGAAGAGCAGGCTGCACTAAATCTCAGCTGATCTGTGAATTTGTTCTGTGGATCAGGTGTGTGTATGTAGGTGCTCGGCCAAACAGTGGCACTTCAGAGTGGAGGCATGGCAGAACACAGCCTGCAAACTTGCTCTATTTATTTGTCTTCCTTCTCCCCGTTTTTAACAGCAGATAGAAGCATTTTCTGGAAACACAAAGTACTTAAATATCGTAACCCAGCTGAACACTTTGTTCGCTGCTGCAAGGTGGTAAAACAATGCTCCGAAATGTTAGCTTAAGGCAAATAGGGATCTGTGGTCCTGCTGGAGTGTGTCCTGCTGAGCATATATCCTTAAAAGGAAACATGCGAATTACTTTCCCCTCTTGCATCCTGTTATTTAAGCTATTTTAAGCACTCTTGGAAGGAAGCTGAGCCAGAGCTTGAAGTAGCTTTTGGGTTTCGTTTGCTGCGGCTTTGCTGCGCCACCTGCATACGGGCAGAAGATGGTGCCGTCCATCCCTGCGGTAGCATTGCACTGGTACGCTGGTGTGCGTGCATCTTTCAGTAGAAATAGGAAACTTCAGATGTGCTGTAGTTTCCTTTCCATCAGGCAGGTTATAAATGTATCCAGGCTGTAGCTTGTCTGTTAAAACAATTCTGCTTTCTTCCATTAGTAATTTTGGGCCGTATGCCGAAGGATTTCATTTGGGGTAGCTTCTATTTTGACAGCCTCTTCAGCTGTTGAATGCCATTTCAGATTTTGTTACAGAGGGATTTTAGACCACCTTCTGCCTGAAGTCTGGCCCTGCTGCAGGACATCCAGCAAGGCACCATATGGTGGGTCCGCAGTAATGCTGGAAATAATTCTGGAACGTGCTGGTGCTGCAAAGGTGACTACTTTTTCCTAATGCTGCTGCTTTGTACATTTGACTATGATATTGGAGGGGGAACAGAGACAGCAGGAAGGGAAGCAGCTGCCCTGTGGGATAGGAGTTTCAGGCCTATTTGTCATGTTTACAGGGCTAAAGGCTTTTTGGCATGTTAAGAGAAAAATGTGTCCATATTCCGGCACATAGTCAATCACTGGTTGAGGTTACTTGTCTCTGCCATGGGATGGCACACTCACCAGGCTTTAATAAAAAAAATCTACCTTTCTGTGTCCGAGAACCTAAAACTTGAAATGAGAGCAGCTTGACTGCAAAAACAGCAACTTGATTGACAAGACCTGTCTTGCTTGTGAATCCTACTCCCAGAGTTGTCTGGGACAAAGATGCCCTTTTAACCTATGAAGTAAATCAGTAATTAATGTTTGTTTTGTTTTGTTTTTTTCCCCAAGATGCTATGGAAGAGTAACTGACAGGTGGGTGATTGGGATTTGGTTAGGAGTTGGAAGAACTTAGGCCCTGAGCCCCGAGGATTTTGAGTGAGTTAAGGTGCATTAGTCAGCAGTGTGTGTCCTTCACACTTGGTTATGTGCTGCTGGCTGACCCCAGTGCGGGTGCTGAAAGCCACTGGAGTGCAGCCCCTCATGATGAGCAGCATCTTTCCTGGTGCCTTGCTCCTGAGTCGCATGAACTCACTTGTGAGTGTGCGTTTCAAGTGGCTCTTTGTGCTGCAGAGCTGCTATTTATTTTCATATATATATATATAATTCTTTTTCTATGAGCAGAGGTAATCTTTGAACTAGGCATACCTGGAGGACTGGGAAGATGCTGCTTTGCAGGAGTGACCAAAATCCTCAATGGATGGATGTTGACCCTCACTGCAGTAAATTCCTGATGTTTGCCCTGTAGCCAGGTTTGATGCTTTTGGGCTGAGACTGAGGTTTGCTGAGCGTGTGTGGATGCACCAAACAATAGCTTGGGCTAACTCCTCAGTTGCATTTCAATCAGTGTTTTTAAGTTATGGTTTCTGCGAGCAAACCAGTGTAAATGTGAGGCAGAGGATTAATTCCTTGAACTAGACTGTAACCCTGAAAGACTTAATGTGTACAACTGAGCTCTAAACAGGTATAAGCATCATTTTTACGTGGTGCATCTCTCCAGTGCTTTACAGATGGAGACTTCGGAGCCCAATTCCCTGCTGTCTCACTCAACAGGCTTCTGCCTCATGAAATACCATGTATTGTGTTTTTTCCCTTTCACTTCTAAATAAGCTCAGACATGGCACATGCAAGCCTGGTTCAGAAACACTTCTGAATGTTTAAGCTAGAGATGTCAAGAGGAAAACCTTTACCCAAATCCAAGTCAAAATCACACCTATGATCCTGTCAAGGATACAGTATGTATTTTGAAGTCTTAATTTTCTCTGTCCTTTGCCTACTAACATTTGGGTAGATAGAAAACTTAGTTTTTTAGGTGGTAGATTGACTGAAAGAAGTATTGTACAGCTGTTTCTGGATTTACCTGTTTAATTTGGCAGCGTGGCACAGGATTGCGGTCAGTTAAGTCAAGCACAGGCTAAAGCAATGGATGCTGAGGGTTTGGGTCCCTGGGCCCTGGAGAGAAGCAAATGTGTCTTGATTTTCTTCACTGGCTGTGAGGCAGAGAAAAGATGCATATTGTGGAGTTAGATTTAGTAATAAGAAAACTGTAACAGAAGAAGCTGTGATTTATCTAGAAAGGAAATAGTTTGCTGATGACATCTCAGGCTGGACTGTAATTTAACTTGTCTTTGTAAGCTTATATGTTTTTGTAATAAAACTCTAAAATTGAAGGCCAGGCAGCAGCCTGTTGCTATCATTAATCATTGACCCAAGCCACTTAATTTCATCAGCATTATTGTAAACACTGACATTTCATAAAGTAGTTTAATGTATTTATTAATCCATTTCTTTAGTTTGAGACCTAGGGTCTGGGGTGTGGGAGGAAGGACGTCTTTGATCTGTGTTACTTTGGATGTTTGCCACTAAGCTTTTGACTTTTGCTTTCTTGCTGACTTAAAAACAATTTTAAAATCCCATACGGATCTGGAAAATGAGGAAGGTTGGAGTGGTGGTGAGGACATGCTGCTTGCTGTGAAGTAAAACCTAAAAACCACCACTGATACCTCATTAATATTAAATTGCCTTTCAAAATTCACAAAAAAAAATGGACTTTAGAGCTATTCTGATTGTTTTCTTTTATTCTTGAACGTATCTCCCCTCAAACATAAATGCTGACTCCAGTGGCTGTGGTGTGGGATTCCCTCTTGAGCAAAACCAAATCCTGGGGCTGGTGCAGCCCTGGGGGTCTGGCAGTTGCCTGCAGTTTTCAGGGTTGTTTGAGCAGCAGAAGCTGTTGCTTGAGTGGAATTTAGCTCTCTGGCCTTAGGGAGAGGCTGTTGCCTTATAAATAGCAGCAAACTCCTCCAGTGTGGGATATAGGCAGAACGGTGGCTGGGTGAAGTGGAGCGGGGCTGGGTGCCCTGCAGCATGGTGTGGTTTTGGCAGCCGACACTGGAGAGCTGTGCCATCGCATCACTGGGAGCTCTGGAGGTGTGGGAGAAGGTAATGCAGCTGCTGAAATGCAGAGATTCCTCTTGTTCAGCCTTAAAGGGCTCAGCTGATGCCTTCAGTGCACTGTTCACTTCCCAGAGCCTGTGCTGGAATGACGACCGTAGGAGACTGCCAGATCTCCACCTCCTCAGCCCATCCAGGTATTCCCCATCATCAGTAATCTGGGTTTGGTATCTGCCTGTGGCCCCAGCCCTGGGGAGGAGATGGCAGCTTAGGCACTGAATTAACTTCCCCAGGCTGTCTGAACCCCTTGCCTACAGCAAAGGTATTTTAACATCACTACCGAGCTGGTAACACCACAGGATGCCCTGAAGCCCTGTCTCTCTGAACACACTTAGAGGGTTATGGGAGGTGAGTCTGGGCGGTCTGACTGCTTCAAATGCTGTGGCTGCTGGTGGACCTGATTCTGCTGCAGCCTGGGTAGCAGCCGTGTTGTGAACCACGTTGTCTGCTCCTCCTGGAAGGAGGCACCAACCACGGTGGCAGCAAAAGCTCATTTGCCTGAAGAAAGGTCTGTGGCTGCTGGATTTGCTCTGTGCAGTCAATAGATGTGGTGATGTCCCCAGAGGAGTTGGGATCTGTTGATGTGAAAAGCTCCAGATTCACACTAGATTCTTGTCTTCCAAATCTAGGAGGCGATATGTAGGCAATGTCTTGCCAAGCAAGCAGTGCTGCTGTGGCCTGGTGATTGACTGTCAAAGCAAATGTCCTTGCAGAGCGTTCTTAGGCAGCATTAAAAGATTTGGCTGCAATTTTCTGTCAGCGATAAATGGATACCATCACTATCAGCATGATTAAAAAAATGTAAATGTAGAGCTGACTTAGTGTTTTCAGTTCAGAAAGTAAGAAGTGCTTTTCATTGCTGTCTATTTTTAAAACGCAAAGCCAGCTGCAGTTAGATGTAAAAAGAAATACTCTGGAGATCATTTATGAAAATGCAGATGCTCTGTTGTGAAAATTCTACACCAAACTTGGTCACACGTCCTGAGAGCCGTCCTGGTCAGCTCTGCTTTGCAGCTGCTGTTGCCCAAAGCTGGAGAGGTCTTATGGCTCGTGCTGGGACCCTCTCTGAACATGCACCATGTGTATGCCTTTTGATTCCTAGTGTGTTCTTGGTGGTGCCCATTGAATAATGTGGTACTTGGGCTTAGTATTTTTGGTGTGGGCATCTGGCTGTGTGTCTGTGTCCTGCAGGGAGCTTGCTTTCAGCAAAGACGAATGCTCCGTGCAGTGTGGCCCTGAAACAGGTATGCTGTGACAAGCCACGCTACGAGATTCCTCCTTACCAAAATGTGTTGTAGATACCCCTAGTATGCAGGTTGCTCTCTGTAAAGCACTTTTGAGCATGGGAGCCATGTTTCTGTCTTACTGTCTGGGGCTGGTCTTGTCGGGGTAGTTTCTGAAATCTGCTCCTTTTGCTTCGCAGACCTCAACAGCAACGGGTTCATCTGTGACTATGAGTTGCATGAGCTCTTCAAGGAAGCCAACCTGCCTCTCCCTGGTTACAAAGTGAGAGAGATCATCCAGAAGCTCATGATCGACGGTGACAAGAATAAAGATGGGAAGATTAGTTTTGAAGAGTTTGTATACGTAAGTGGCATTTCTGAATTTCCAGCAGCCTGAGGGACTCCTTGTAGACAAAGCGAAGGAGGGGGTAGAAGAGGTTGAATGTGGCTTCTCTGCCACTTAGTTTTCTTTCCACAAACTGATCACTTTTGAAGACTTCCCACATAGAAATCAGTTCCTCGTACTGGTCACTGCATATGACCAGTCTTTTGTGCTGTCACTGCCAGCCTTTGAACTTGGACAGAGGGGAAATCTGTTGGTTTTTTAAACTAAAGCAAAAGAATCCACATGTTTTTCCTATGTGAAAACTTCATTGGAGGCCAAAAGACCATTTCCACATGAGGTGACAAGTGGAATAAAGACTTCCAGTTCTCTAAGCTTACGGTATTGACTGGAAGCTACTCAGTTTTTCCAGGCACATAGATGAGTGCTTGTTTTTCCAGAGAAGCAGTATAATTTCCTTTCTCAATTTAATGGGACTACAAGTATTTGCTGAAGATTTGAGAAGGCCTTTCTAGACACAATTTGAGACTACTCCTAGAAGCTGATCTAGGAAAATTCAGATCCATTTGTTGCCTTAAAAGGGAAGAACAGGAGTAAGGAGATAGGAGAAGCTGAAGGATGGGTCTAACCTTCAGCCTTTTCTGTAGGAACAGGTCAGATTTTTTTTACATTTTATTTTTACAAAAGCACCACACTTATTCTGAGATACTGGTTCAATACCCACCCCTTCGTCCTTTTCATAATCTGATGTCTGAATGTTGAAAGAGTAATAAAAGTATGTGCAGTACACTGAGGGAGCTGTTTTCATGTCATCCATTTTTCTTGGTATTTCATAATTTATCTTCACTTTCTGTTCCTTAATTATTTTCAGACCCTCTGAACTTTTGAGTTTGGAGTCAACTAGTAAGTCAGAGTTTGTGTGTGAGCACTTGCATGCTGGGTGCATGTTTCAGCTGTTGGTTTGAGCTGGTCTATGACTCTAACTTTACACTAGGAGGGAAGAAATGAGTCTCTTCTGTCACATTTGAATGGTACCAATGATCAAGTAAACATGAAATGTCTATAGACACCTAAGCTATACAGTAGAAGCAATGGTTAGATGTAGGATTTTTACAAATGGAACTGTTGCTGTTTTCTAACTCTGTGCACTTTTGCTGGGGTTTATGGTACAAAGGCTGATGTCAACTGACTTGAGGTTGGGGCCAAGTGACTTGGTGGTACCTCAGCATTAAAGCACGTATTTTCAAAAAAGGTAGGTAATACTAGTAATTAGTCCAGCAAATTTTAAAATAAATAAGTCTGTATCAAAATTCTTATGTTTAAAACTAACAAACCAGCCAGAAAACCTAAAACTTTGGGCTCTTCGTTGAGCTCTGCCTGATGACGAGGTGAACGAAACCTACGTGTGCCATCCAGGAGATGGTTTAACTGCACTGCAGTGTCATCCTGGCTTGCCACCTTCCTTGCGCTGAAGCGCTGGAGAAGGCAAAGTGTGACTGCCAGTGGGGCTGGCCCCGTGGGGACACCTCTGCAACCAGGGGGACAAGTCCCCTCCTCTCCCTTTGTTGTTCTGCTTCATAGTGCTGATTCATTGCCTTTTTCTGGGTAGCATTTAGAGAAGCTGTATGTGTTTCATTGGTGTTTTCAGCGTGGTTGAAACTAATTTGGTTAAGTTTTGAGGGAGTTACAGTAGGTTTTCAAGCCATTGAATGTTTATTTTTCTAATAGTTGCTCAGTTCAGGATGTCAGGGCTGCTAACAGTGACATACAGCCTGTGCTAATGGCACATGTCATCTTTCTGTGCTAAAGCGTCTCTTTTGCCCTCACATGTGAGGGTGTTTTGTCAGTTAGCTCAAGCCTGCTGCTAGGGGAGGGGAAATCCTTACCTGGAGCATTTGTTGTTACATGTTATTGCAGATTTGAGCAGATTGTACCTTCTATACACGTAAAAAGAATGGTTTATTGGGTTGTGGACGAAGTCTTTTGTGTGAGCTAAAGTCACAGTCACACAGGCATCTGGCTTACACAGAAAGGTTAAAATTGCACAACAGCTTTCTCCACTTTGCTCCTGCGGAAACTGCTGCATGTGGGCCTGCTCTCAGACTGCAAAGGTTTCACTTTTCAAGAGACCAAGAGAGAAAAAAAAAGTCTACCTGAAAAGGTAAATGTATGCAAGGCACTTCCTGCCTAATGCTTCTGTTTCAATAGGACTTGCAATATGTGTTTGAGAGAACAGGGCTACTCTCTGCCCACCATCCATGTTAAATTTAATACCACTGCCCCCTTGCTGGGCCCTTCACATTTGCTGGTTTTACTACAAAGTTTGCCTTAAAGCTGAGGAGAAATAGCTTCTGTGGTCCTTTCGTTTTATGAAGATGAGTTTTTCTTGTCTAACTTTAACGTGCAGATTTTCCAAGAGGTGAAAAGCAGCGACATCGCCAAAACGTTCCGAAAAGCAATTAACAGGAAGGAAGGAATCTGTGCGATCGGGGGGACCTCGGAGCTCTCCAGCGAAGGGACACAGCACTCCTACTCAGGTATCGCTCTGCCTTTTACCTCCTCTCTTGCGGGAGTGGAGGCCACGTGTCAAAAATAGTGGATTTCTTCTGCTCTGCCATGGGCTGTGCTTTTGTCCTCCGGTTGCTGAATGAGCTCACGTCAGGGTGAGAGCAGGACAGAATTAGAGGGTGATGCAAGATGGGCAGCGTGTGAATTAAGTTTGTGCTTATTTGTTTTGTTAACTGTGCTTGCTGATGAAGTCCCTGTGTCGCACTTGAATGTAATGAGGTTGTTGAGTAACAAGTAAATGACAAGAATATTGTGGTAATTGGAAGGGAAAGTCGTATTTCTTTAAACTTTGTGTGGCTAATAGTTAGTGTGGTAACGATAGTAGTGGGGCTTTTATTTCCCTGGGCTATTGTCCACTGATTCTTTTGGGAAAACCTTTGCTGTGTTGTGAAAAAGCCTGTATTAAATTTACAATTGGTTATCTTAGAGGAAGAAAAATATGCCTTTGTAAACTGGATAAACAAAGCCCTGGAAAATGATCCCGACTGTAGGCACGTTATTCCAATGAACCCAAATACAGATGACCTGTTCAAAGCTGTGGGAGATGGGATTGTGCTATGGTAAGTCATGATGGCTCCTGAATTACAAAAATAAAATAAATGCCAAATTAATTTCCTAAAACTGTACTTAGGGGAGTTTTTGATCCTATTCTGGGCTGGTTTTGTGACTATTTTGTGTGTATGATGTTTTGCGTGTATAAAAAGTCATCCAGGCGTTCACTGTCGTTGTGTGATGCTTCAGCTTTGATGCTAACTTCACAAGCTGGTATTTCTGTCAGGAGTTTTTGAGTTTGCTGAAGGGGAGAAAGTGCCTTGCAGGAGCAGAAGTTGTCCTGGTGTAAACTCAGCCTGCTGCTGAGTCTAGGGGAGGACAGACGTGTTAAATCACCTTTTTTCTTGGATGTTTAGACAGGTGGTAACCTCTGTGGAAATGTCAGTGACCTTATGAATTAACCCACAAATTGATTTTCTGGGAATCCTCTCGTTGCTTTTGCTAATAGCTCCACTAAGTTAGTAACGTAACTTATTTTGCTGCATGCTGAAAACAGAAGACATTCAGGGCTGCTAAACACCAGAACAGAAGATATCCAGGGCTGCTAAACACCAGCTGCCTTCTGTGTATGGGGTTTCTTTTGATTCTGTGTTCTTGGTTTGTTTTTATAAATGTAAGTGAATTAATGTAGTGGAGAACCGGATCAGCCTGGAGTTTCAGTAACTCTGTAAACACAAAAGATGTTTAGTGGGGTGCTCATTGCCTTTAATTTCTTTCATTTTTTTTCTTTAGCTTGTTATTTTTTTTATTTCCCTAGTTTCAAGTAATTCAGGTTTTCAGGTGAAGACTGAACTGAGTAGGAAGTAGTTCACAATATAAAGTAAAAACTTGCCGTGTTTTCTGTTGACTAAGAATTTATGTGCTCCCCAGTGAACTCTCAAAGCATTTGCGCTTTTTTGAGGCAGTTTTTTCTGCCAGCACTAGTACACCTTTACAAGAGGAGGAAGCACGTTGTCTCACTAGAACCTGCAGTGGATGTCAACAGAGCAATGAGTCTTCGCTAGTTCAGTGACTGCGCTGTGAATAATTCATCTGCTCTTTTTGCTCCGACGGCCGAGATCGGTAGTGGCTGTAACATGTTTAAGGTTTCAGGCTTAGCTACTAGTTACAAATACACTTTGATAGTGTAAATATTAACTTCTTATTTACGAAACCTTGATTTAAAAAACAAAATCAATTAAAATACACAAAGCCAAACAGGCAAAAAGAAATGTAATGTGGTGAGTGTTGTAACAGTGCATTGAGTTCTGTTGAGACTAAAAACTAAATGTTATTCCAATGTTATTGTTTTTCTTCCTACCAGCAAAATGATCAATCTTTCTGTCCCAGACACGATTGATGAAAGAGCAATTAACAAGAAGAAACTCACACCGTTCATAATTCAGGTAGAACGCGTTTCTGTATTTTTGCTGAAATTCATATTCGGAGAGAATTAATGAAAACAGCACGGTGGCTCGAGGGCTTACTGTGGAACTCTGCAAGGAGCGACTTTTATAACTTGCATTTAATTATTAGAGGCAGTTTTGTACTGTGCATAATTGGCAGTGGTTTGGGTAAAGCTCAAAAGACACAAGTGCTAACTTAATGACAGAGCGGGTAAAACGCTGTGCACGCCTGATGTTGCTGTGGTGATTATATACAGCGCTGTCTTTTAAAAACTGGCATTGGCTATCTATGAACTGTTTCATAGTACAACAGGTTGTTTTTGTGAGGATGCCTGTGCACACTCGTGTGTATAACTTAACACTTCTCCAGCCTGAGTCTTGTTGATGCCACTAAATACATCTAAGTCAGAGGCTGAAACTAAATACCAGAGGCTGAAATCGGACCCCGGTGCTAGTTCGGTTCTTATTGATTCAGCCTGCTGCCACCACGGCTCCATTAAAACTTCAGCTAGCGAGTGTCTGGGAGCGTTTCCTCTGAGCTGCTGCTGTTGAAGCAAGGACAGGGAGGAAATCTCCACTCTGCTGAGGCTGGATGAAAAGCGAAGCAGCTTCTCCCTGGGCTGCGTCTCACTCGGCTGTGCTGTTTGCAGGAGAACCTGAACCTGGCATTGAATTCTGCATCCGCCATTGGGTGTCATGTTGTCAACATTGGTGCAGAGGACTTGAGGGAAGGGAAACCCCACCTGGTCCTTGGGCTTCTCTGGCAGATCATTAAGATTGGCTTGTTTGCTGACATCGAGCTCAGCAGAAATGAAGGTAAATGAAACTATAAGCTCTTACTTTTGAAGCATGAACACTGCACTGCTCGTGCTGTCACCTGCACCCCCATTGCTGCCTCTTCCCTCCCTCCCTCCCTCTCTGCTGAAAGGAGGGCACTCGCCTTCAGGTTCATCGGGCCATGTGCCAAGCCGAGCGCTCTTCAGCCTGTTTCGAGCTGTGCAGCGGGTACAGGCAGGCGGGTTGTGCCATCCTGGGAGTGTGTGTCAGCCTCGGAGAACCGGCTGAACACCAGTCTGCAAGTCAAGATGCCCCTCGATGTCAACCTTGTATTGCAAATGACAGTATTGCTTTGGGATGCCTCTGGCTGGGCAGGGGTTCTCGGTGTGCTTCTGCCATAGATGTGTAACGGTGTTGGGAGGTGGCAAAAGCTGCTTGTAGCCTTTTAGGATTACAGGCGAATGCAACTCTTCCTCAAAAACAGAAAGAAGTGGGCTTCAGCTCTCTGAGAATGTGTTTAATGACTTGGTTATCCTAAAATCCTCCTTGCTGCTGTCACTGGTGCAGCTGAGCTCTCACTTCATTCTCGGTGGCGGCCCCTGTGCTCTCTTGGTCTTGCACGACAGCCTCCAAAATTTAAACATTTCACATCATTCAGAGAGCTCCCTTATTCCTGCACGGGCCATCAGAACATCCAGACGGATGGCAGGGCTTCAGTGTCTTTTATTTAAACCTCCCAGTCATGAAGTGGTAACATTGTTTGATTTAGGTTGAAAATTCATGGCAAGGGAAGCCCAGATCAGCTGAAAAGATGCTTGTTTTGGCTTCTCTGGCCTTTTTTTAACAGGGCATATGAAACTGCTGGAAGCACTTTAGCATTGAGATAGAAGTACATTTACATTTAACGTACTGTCATCAGCAGAGGATTTTGTTATATAATAAAATGGAAATATTCTTTTTACAGTTTTCTAGATCATTTATACTCTGTGTAACGACCAGCTCAGGAAAACTCCACTAATACTTGGATTATTTTGACTTAATCAGTAGTTGGTATTGTCTCCCCTTCTCCCCCTGAAATGTTGCTGCAGCTCTAATTCTGACGTGCAGGTTTGCCTCTTGAAAACTCCTTCCTTCCCCTCACAAGCATTTTTCTTCTAGCACTGGCTGCCTTACTTCGTGATGGTGAAACTCTGGAGGACCTTATGAAACTATCCCCAGAAGAGCTGCTCCTAAGATGGGCCAACTTCCACTTGGAAAATGCAGGCTGGCACAAAATCAATAACTTCAGCTCAGATATCAAGGTACCAAGAGCTCTCCCGGCCTGCACGTGCCTGGAAAAAGGCTGGGAGCCAGCCAGGGTGGTGTTTGCATGTGTAAATGAGGCCTTCATCTGCAGACAGGACTTTTCTTAACCTTAATGCACTGAGTAGGCTCAACAGAGGGCTTATGGCTGGTATATTTAAGGTACCATAGTGCTGTTCTGTCTTGCCATGAGGTTGAGCCCAGTTTTGAACCGAGTGTTTCTTCCAGTCTTAGTGGGATCCTGCTGCAAAGCTGTTGAGTGTTTTAAGCTAGTAGGAAAGTGGTATTAGTCGTGTGTTCTCAGATGTTCTTAATCCGTCTTTTTTTGATGGAAATAAGTTTTCAAGGGTGTGCAGCTCACTCACGCAGGTTGAAATGCTTAACTGCATCCCTGAAGAGCAGGACTTCCGCACACTCTTGGCAGGTGATGGCTTTTCATCCAAAATGTCATGGGCTGGAGAGAGGAAGGGAAACAACACCCCTTATTCTCTACACTGGGCTGAGTGGAAGTGGGAGTAGGGAGTCTTACAGCTATTCTTCAGATGTGAGAGGGTGGCTCTCTTCTCTCAGCACTAGTGAGAAATGGAGGGTGGTAATTCCTGGTCAGTGTGGGGTTTTTGGACCCTGGTCTCGGGAAGTTTCTGGAGCTTATTCACATGGCCAGCAGTTTGGAGAAGGAGAAAGAGGACTGAAGTGGATTCCCAGGTTAAAGGACTGTTGGGTAGAAAAAAGAACGCTGATAACTGAGGTGCATGGAGAGCTCAGAGCTCCCCTGTGTGCGTGCATGCATGACACACAAATGGTCACTCTCATTTCCAACTTCAGAACTGCTTGCAGCTTTGTTGATAGCTGTTGGCTTGTCTGGTGCAGCCCATAGCCTGCCAGGATGCGCTGAGGCCCTTCTTAGGACTGAGGGCTAAAAGGACTTGTAGTCAATAAATAATTAGTGCAGCTATTTGCTCCTCCTAGTTTGTGACTATCCCTGGCCTCTCTCCTTTAAGCTCTTCTAGGGAATCGTCATGCACAGGAGAAAACGTTCAGACTTATAATCAGCATTTTGCCTGGACTTTGTCTTTGCTGAGCCATTTTCAGTGTTGCTGTAATACGAGGAATGGTTGCCTTAGTTAGGGGTTAGGGCCACCTTAGGGCATCTGGCTGTGTGGGGGCCATGAGAGCGAGCAGCATGGGGTCATGGCCTCTTCCAGGTGTTGGAGAGGGGGCTGTGACACCAGAGCTCACAGCAAAGGCAAATTTCAAACAGTTAATCCCACTATAATTTTAATCTTAAATATTTCTAACCTTTTCCCTTTCTGTTTCCTTTTCTGCTGCCTGGATTTCTGCCGTCGTGCTCTTTTTTTTAAAGCTTACAGATTTTGGTAATTCAGTAAAGGTACATAAGTCAATTATGCACAGTGACTTGTTAAAGATGAGCCTAAAATGAATAGTTACGGTGTATTCACTGCTGTGCAGGAGACCTGAATTTTCTTTCATACATTTCAGGATTCCAGAGCTTATTTCCACCTCCTCAATCAAATTGCACCCAAAGGGCAGAAAGAAGGAGAGCCTCAGATTGATATTAACATGTCAGGTTTCAATGTAAGTATTCAGGCTGTCGTGTCCTCGTGCTGTATAGTAGTGAACTACCTGTACCTTATAATTGCCTGATGACATCTGGGTTACCTGGTATCTTAATTTTTACAATGTGTAAAGGGTCAGTGGGCATGTGTGCACCTCGGGTATGTGCTGAGTCAGTGGTTGTTGCAGGCCTGATCACTGCTTGCCAATTAACATAGATAATGGAGAAATCACTCGTGGTTTTGCTCCATTGGGGAGCACGCTGACTTCTGCTTTTGAACCGCTATGTTTCAAAAGCGTGTAAGTTGGATAGCACTTGAAAGCACCATGCCAGGAAAAATACCAAGACAAACCAGGACAGTTACATCCACAGCAGCAGGGATTAGCGTGCGTGCTTCATCCCTCTGTTTGATTAGCGACTAATGGCTAATGAAGGCAGATGGAGTTGTGACACTGCCCCACGTACCAGTCAGGAGTTTCCCATCTGCTCTGTAGCCTGATCTCTTCCATGACAGCTCTTGTCCATTCCATCTCTGACAGGAGAAGGATGACTTGCGGAGAGCGGAGTACATGCTTCAGCAGGCAGATCGACTTGGCTGCCGGCAGTTTGTCACACCAGCTGATGTGGTCAGCGGTAATCCCAAACTGAACTTGGCCTTCGTTGCCAACCTATTCAACAAGTACCCAGCACTTACCAAGCCTGAAAACCAGGACATTGACTGGACCCTACTGGAAGGTGATGGGCTGTTTCAGTCACAAAATTAGCAGGAGGGAAAATACCTAAAGGAAACGCTTGTGTCACAAGAGGTTGTGCCCAGCAGAGGTATCTCTGTTGAAGTAACAGCTATGATTTGGGGCTTCAGTGCTGCAGTGGTTGTTTACACATTTGGGGCAGATGAGAAGGGTAATTGACAGCCTGTTCAACTGCTCTGACCCTGATGTGGAGTCAGTCTCCACACCAGGGCTGGGAAGTTGGTGTTGCCATTTTCTGTGATGGGCAGGAGCACCTCGGTAATGCAGCGAGATGCTCATGGGAGCACTAATTGCTGGCAGAACTGGGATCAGGGCTTTGGCTGCCTGTCTCACAGACAGCAGTTAGCTAACACCTGTGTGTAAGACCTTCTTGCTACTTTTTCTTCCTGAAAGTGCAAAAGGCATGCTCTTCTGAGGCCTGGAGAAATCAAATTGATATCCAGAACTAGATATCAGAGCAACCCTCTTCCTTTTTAAAAACTGTAGTAGAAAAAATACCCTTTTTCTGCTCAAAAACCTCACTGCTGAGCTAAGTTGCTCAAAGCTCTCTGCCTTGCAAAGTGGAAAATCTTGCGCAGCTTTGAGCTTGAGGAAGTTGCATGAACCTGTTTTCTCTAATCTAGGAGAGACGCGTGAGGAACGGACCTTCCGCAACTGGATGAACTCCCTTGGTGTGAACCCCCACGTAAATCACCTCTACGGGTAAGCGTTAAGCTCCTGGGAGTGACCCAAGGAGACCAGGCTATGTGTCCACACCAGAGTCCTGCTGCCCACAGTGTCGAGCAAAGAGCTTGAGAAAGGGTGGTGGTAGGGCCTGGGAGATGCTCACGTTACCCTCCCTGCAATCCATAGCTTAGGGATTTCTGACCAGCACTTGGCACACCAGCAAGTGGCTTTAAGGGCTGATGACAGTTGGTTTATTTTCCCCTATCTTGTGTCAATTGGTACCCTGAGATCCCAATACATTTAAATCTGCTTGAGCAACTTCATTAGAGCAACTGGAACTAAATTCCCTGTCACCTAATTTTAGGGCTTAACCAACACATCACAGTTAGGAGGCAAGATACTCTGGGTCCCTGTAGTCAGTGAAGAGAGGTGGCTGCCTTTGGATTTTATATAGCAAAATTCTTCCTTGGATCTCTTGCTGGTTGCCACGCTAAAACCTGCCTTAGCTCAGCAGCTAGCTGATGTTAAGCGTGGGGTGTTTCTTCTGCCCTGAAAACTGCAAAATGTTTGGGTTTTTCTTTTTTTCTTTTTCTTTTAACATTGCTGAAATTGCGCAAAATGTTTGGGTTTTTCTTTTTTTCTTTTAACATTGTTGAAATTGTGACAACCTGTAAAGAAGAGTAGTTATTCACGATAAGACAAAGTGAGAGTGCATTTAAACCTTGAAACATTAGTCTTTATCAGTGTTTTCCGCTTTAGCGATCTCCAGGATGCACTGGTAATACTACAGTTATATGAAAAGATCAAAGTTCCTGTTGACTGGAATAAGGTTAACAAGCCTCCGTACCCGAAGCTTGGAGCAAATATGAAAAAGGTAAGCATTTCAAAAGAGGCTAAAAGAAGCCTTGCACACTAAAAATTACCTATTTGAGGCTTCCAGTCAAGTGAGTCTATTTGTGATTGATTTTCTGTTTAAACTTTTTCTTGTGTAGCTAGAAAACTGTAACTATGCTGTAGACTTGGGAAAGCATCCAGCTAAATTCTCCCTGGTTGGCATTGGAGGACAGGATCTGAATGATGGGAACCCAACGCTGACCCTGGCCTTAGTCTGGCAGTTGATGAGAAGGTAGGACCCATCTGAAACGTGTAAAACTTGTGAATGGAGTACAGAGTTTGGGAAGTTTTTCTTGCCACGAGAGCACTGCAGCACTGGAACAAGTCACTCAGAAAAACTGTAAGAACGCTGTCCCTGGGGGTTTCTGAGACACAGCTGGACAAAAATGTGGCAGAGCCAATCCTGCTACACATGGGAGGCTGGAGCAGAGACCTCTAGAGGACCGGCTGGTGGATCTGAGGTCATCCTGCTGACTGGGATCACCTCTCTCTTGCCTGCTTGAGTCTGGTCTGCATGCAGAAACCCTAAGCAGGAATACTTACACAACTTTTATGTTCTACTTTTAATTGGAAATTGAGAGAGAACCATTCCAGGGCTGCTTTATAGCCGCTTTCTGCATTGAAATGGGAGGAAGGAGAAACTTTATAAGAGAGAAAGTTTATCATCCTTTTTCTTACCTGTTTCTGAAGAATTCTAAGATGATGCGAATATATATCTGCAAAATATATATAGCTGCATGGTAGCTCCTTATTTGGCATTATAGGTCAGAGTGCTAACTCGCGAGTTGACCCACACCTTTGAGGTAATGTGTTAACCCCATGGAGCAAATGGTCAATGGTTAAACAGTTTAACAAGTGTCCTGAGCCCAGGCAATTTTGCAATCTCATATTAAAGGATTTTAAAAGCTAGAAAGACTAAATGCTTTAACAGAAATCACACTGCAGGTAAGACAGATGGTTATTCCTTTTTGCTAAAGGAGTTTAGAAAAAAAAAGACCAAAAAAAAAAAGAAAAGCTGAAACTATGTGAAGACTTTCTGAGCTGCCATGGGCTCACATCCTGGCTGAGTGCTCTCACCAGGGGCTTTGCCCAGGCTCTGTGCCTAATCCTGTTCTCTCTGCTGGTTCTCAGGTACACGCTGAATGTTCTCGAGGACCTGGGTGATGGTCAGAAAGCTAACGATGACATTATAGTCAGCTGGGTAAACCAGACCCTGAAAGAAGCTGGCAAGTCCACCTCCATCCAGAACTTCAAGGTGCAGGTTCCCCTCTTGCATCCAAAAAGAGAGGGTTGCCCCAAAAGTATTTCTGTGGCTGGAGGAAGAGGAGGGGTTTAAACAGGATGGGGTTCAGTCTGTGCTGGGAAGAAAGTGGCTTCAAACTACCAGAGGAGACTTCTTAGGAGTGCTTGCGGTGGGGAATAGCAGTGGGGCAGGAGAGCTGGTGGAGTGGGAGAGGAGGGGAGGGTGGCTGGGTTCTGGCGCTGACATCTGAGATGCTGACAAGCGAAGAGGTTGGAGCTGGCAAGCATTTGTAGTGAGCGCTGTCCCTCGGGGTCTGGTCAGTGGGGCAGACCTGCTGCCTGCACGTCCGTTACTGCTTTGCATTTTTGGAGCACTTGCAGTAAACTGGGGTAACGATCTTGTACTGCTCCCACAGGAGAAGCGGCAGTTCGGTTCTCCCTGTAGTCCAGCTGGGAATGCTCACTAACGTTGCTGCTTTGAAATGACTCGTTTAAAGCTTGTTTTGTTGCACGGTGCAGAGCAGTCGAATTGAGGTGAAAGGTATGTTTAAGGATTTGGCATTCATACTGTCTCTCCCTGTGTTCCCTAGGACAAGACTATCAGCACAAGCTTGGCAGTTGTGGATTTAATTGATGCTATACAGCCTGGTTGTATCAACTATGACCTTGTAAAGACTGGTCATCTGTCGGAAGATGACAAACAAAATAATGCTAAGTAAGTTTGCCATCTCAAAAGTTGTTTTGCACTGAAAGAGTG